CCCCCTACGGGGGGGGGGGGGGGGGGGGGGGGGCGATTAAACGACCAAGCTTCGGATTTGTTTCGTCAACATCTTCCCGAGGCGCCTCTCCCCGACTTTGACACGTCTCTTGAGCATCTAGTGTAGTACACGGTGGCATGCGTGCGTGCCGCGTGCGGCACTCTTGAGATAACACACCTACCTGCAGTGGTGCCGACGCCTGTACACGGCGAACTCCGCCTTGCACACGCAGCAGTTGGGCGCCATGTCGTCCGGCACCCACATCGAAGCGTCCACCGAGGAAGAGCCCATGGGTCCCCTCACAGACTGCGATTTGCTGGTTGGGCCAGGAAAAAAAAAATAAATGGCAGGATAAGTTACTGTTAGGAAAACGTGTCAGCGATGCCACCACCGTCGAAATTACGGCTGCTGCTGCTGCTGCTGCTGCTGCTGCTGATGTTCACCTTCGAAATGATTGCACGTGGTGCTACCAACCAAAACAACCCGAAAGGGCCATGACCACAGCAGCAAGTCGACATCCTGGCCTTTTCTACGTCGTCCAAATCGACCCCGGCGCCCCACAGATGTGATGTAGATTTGTATGGCTTCAACCATGTTCAACGAGACGTGTTTAAAACTCTTGTCGTATAACCCGGCCTCGAGAATTTCCGTGTTTGTCGATATCCGTATTATTTGAACGCTGGTATTCTACACAGGTCTTGGAAGAGGTAATGCAGGAGCGGTACTTGCCGTGTCCGGTTGCTCTGCTGAGCTTACGGCAGGACAAAATCAAGACCTGGCGTGACACGAAATGATTCCCTAAGCGCGCCCCCTTTGTTAAAGCGAGAAAAAGGTTCACCAGTTCCCCTCGCCACCGTCAAGACCGCCGAGCCACCCCCCCCTACGCCACCGTCCTTTTTATGGACCGTCTGGTAAGCCGGCGTCCATTGTCCGCAACGGCCGGGAAAGCTCTACCTTCCTCAGCGACAAGAAGCGCCGGTGAAGGGACACGCAATCCAGACACAGCAACAAAGACCCGAAACCTTTGGTATCTTGGTAGAATACCAGGAGGACGGACACCCGGCACAGCTTGTTTGCCGACAGCTGTCTAACTGACGCGGGGAGACTTTCCTCTTGGCGCCTTTCCTGCTAAGCGCAGGAGACATCGTCCCAGCTACGGTAGGTAGCCGGGCACCGCTTGGCGACGGGGGCTGCTGGCATGCTTGTCGCCCTTCGCCTCCTCCTTCCGTTTTCCCGCTGACAAAAACACTTGTAAAACCGCTGTGTGAGACCCAGCAGTTTCTTCCACCAGGGGTAGGGGCAACGGGGGCGCCCGTTAGCTGGACTCTAGCCTTGCCATGCCGCGGCAAGGGCAAGTGTCAAGGGGGTCGGTCCGCCGCACCGAGCGGGGGCGCGCCTGCTGCACCTACCCCAGGTGCCAGAAACCGCTGGGTGACACGGGGTTGACGAAGGTTTTCAGCGCGAAGATAAAGGGCGACAAAGAAGGCTACTGCTGTAGCGTAGCGCCCCCGTCGTCAAGCGGCGTGCGCCGACAATCATTTCAAGCTATTATAGTAAAAGACCGCAGTTTTTCATCCCCGGCCGATGGTGTTGACGTGTGTAGGCCCTTTGAGATTGCGGCTCGTCTCACGGGAATTGGATATTTTCCACGGTATTCGTCAAGTCTTGTTCGATTTTCAGTACTGTTCGATACCAAGCGTCACCACGGTTAAGTCAGTTTCTTCCAAAACCTTGTAACGAACGTTTTGACCGCCGGGAGGGGAGGAGAGTTCATGTACAATAAGATGTAGGTCTCGGGAGATGAGATGACCGAGAGACGGCAGAGCAGATGGCCAGTTAAATTACTTGCTGCCGGGGGGAGAGAGCTGTGTGGATGATGTACATCATGTATGCCTATCAACAACAAGAAATTCAGATTACCTCGGACGACACATGAACCATGACCCTGCATGTACATACATGTGCATATGCATATGACATGATGGTGCACAATGGCAGTCATGTGCCCATCTCACGTGAATAGGACGCATGTGCTGATGCGGCTCTACGTTTGGGTTTAGCTGCTCCGTCTTGTGCGGTTACGTTACGCTAACGCATGTTTCCTGCTGTCCACCGAGCACCAGCAGGACAGAAGAAGCTTAAGCAGTCTCTGAGTTACAGGAGGATGTATCTGTACGGCAGCGTCTCGCAAGCACCTTTGTACAATGTTGTACAAGGGAGAACCCTCGGTTTTGAGAGGCCCCCTCATGACGAAAGTATGATGCAACCTTTGACGGGAGGCACCGAACAACACCAGCAGTGACACCTTGACAATACTTCCCCCGCCCCCCCAACGGGAGTAATAATATATCTCGCCCAACGCCGCTACCATATTCGTTTGAATAGGCGTGTTTCACTTACCCTGTGGACATATTAGTCTGGCGGCGTCGAGGGGTTGCTGCAACCGGGGAGCTGAAGCCGATGCTTCTTCCCGCTGCCCCGAGATTCTCGTCCCCGCCGCTGTTGCTTCGCCTGGGTGCCCTCGTGGGAAGCTTATGCAGCTGCGCCGGCCCGTCCTCCGTGGGAGCCGGCCCCTCTTCACCCCCCTCGTGCTCCATCTCTCTCTCTCTTCTCCTATCTGCTGTTCGGGGTCTTCTTGGGCACCGAGCGCCTACTTCTCTGCTGCAGAGCCAGCCCTCTATCGCCCGTTGCGAAAGACGATGACGATGCCTCGCGTGTTGGTAAGACAGAGAGGGGAGATGAGAGCCCCTTCCCTTCCACCCTGTGCGTGAGAGATCGCCGAGGGAAAGAAGCCCTTCAGAAATGCTCAAGCCCCAACAATGGGGGGCAGGCTGTACCGGTCCAAGGCGTGGGATGCAGCCAGCAGACGGACAGAGAGGCAGCTGGTCCGGATCAGTTCAAACTGATCTTTCTTTCTGGGGCTACGCAGAGGAGAATAACAATATGCCCTGGTGGGAGGTGTCGGCCTATGATAGGGCGCCGTGCGTCGTGGTGGTGCTGTAGCTGGCCACCGAGGCGATTTGTCCCGGTGCTGCAGCAGTACATCCCCCACTGCACTCTCGGTCTCTTTCGTCTCGTTTACCAGCTCGAGGGCAACATGGGACGCAAGTGAGTTTAGTGGAAATGCGGGACACTGTTTTGTACATAGCGGAGTAGCGCAGTGGGTAAGGCTTCTTAGCAGAGGAGGAGCAAAATCTTGGTCTATACTACATGTGTGCCATGCACCGGATGGTTTGAAGTGCCCCCGACTGCCGTGTATTGCACTTGTCTCTCGGGGTGTAAGCTGGCGGGTGAGGTCTTTGTCCCCCTATCTTTCTTGCCCCTCTCATGTACCTTGGTCCTTCTCAGCGGTTGTTTGCTTGTACCGCAAGCTACAGGTGCAACAAAACTGCAACTCCCAACGTCAACTCAGATTTTAGCGGCTGCTCTCCTTGACAACTGCTGTTTGCACATGTTGTTTCCTTGCAACCTTATGGTTTGGTTGGAACTGACGCATACAGTTTGGTCGTGGCTGTCTCTTTCGTGCGTGCTAGCACTTGCCGCTGCCGTTGTTGTATGTCTTCATTCAGGTAGGGTTTGCCCTGTTGTTGTATCGCGCTACCGCAACACATGTATTAGGGGTGACGTCTACAAAATGGGAGATCGTGGTTGGCAGTCGATCGCCCGCAAGATATGCCGCAATGCACGCGGCAACTTCCAATCGATAATTTACATCGATGCCTCGAAACAGAGCTGTTGATATGCCGTTGCGTTGCCTTGACCGAGAAGCCTAGAAACGCCGCCCTTCTCCTCGACATGCACACAACATACACCTCCATGCCTCGAGGTTTCGGGGACGGCACGGGCATCGACCACGTGCACATGAACCATGATACATAGGGGCGAAGGGTCTCTCGACCTGCTGAGGTACTATGTTTGCGGTGTCACGCCACCACAACCACGGTAGCAATAACCCATTGTAAGTTTGGAAGATTTTTATATTTTTATGCCAAGGATTCTATACCAAGCTACCACGCACGTGTGCAGCCCGCACCGAAGAACTACTATTAATAACCAGTAGTTAAGAATGCATGCTCAACATTATGCAGAGCGGGTCCCTGTTTAGTGTCGGTTGAACAGCAGTGCCAATGCCCGGAATAGTGCCGGCCGGTGTTTTTCGGCGGGCACACACTGAATTTCCAAGTCATTCTGAAAAGTGCCGGTCCGGTACGTGCACATCCCGGCACTCAACAGGGACCCCCTCTGTACTCCGGAGTATCAAGCATTAGCACCATTTTTGAGGCCGGTTAAGAACCCCTACGCTAAAACCGATATAACGGCCATTTGCAGCCCACAAGAGGAACTACAGGAAGAACCCCAGGCTCGGCCAATACTATTACAATACTACTGTAGAGGTTCTTAAGGAAGTGCGGGCGCTATGTATCTGTGTACCACAAAGCAAATGTGTGGAGAACCAACAGCGGCGGTCTGCACTCGTCTCTAGGAGTTTCACTCGTATGTATGCAGAACATGGTTGACGCGAAAGGGAAGCGAGGGGGGGGGCGAATAGAAGCGACCGGTACAACAGCTGTAGTATGCATACCGGAATCATGTACCGTAGGTTGCGTATGATATCACACACCCCGGACCGCTTTTGAAAGCTCGGCTACTCGGCAGAAATTGCAGCGACGGTGCGGAAGTGACGGCGTTGGAGCCTCTCGTCGAGAGCTTTCCGAAAACATATTATTAGATCTCACCATCTTCTTCGTGGTCGAGTAAGCGAGCTTTGACAATCGGTCCAGGGGGTGTGGTATCTTACGCAACCTACGGTAGTCGTGCGAGCGAAGGCGCCCATGGGAGGTCTCTCCCTCATCTTATCGGAGCACTCGGACCGGGGTGCGCCAAAAGAGCAAGAACAGCGTGACGTATTTCAAGTCCGACCGGTATGGGTTCTCTTCGCACCCCGGTGCGATGAAACCGATGTTCGGAGACCGCTCCGGCGTACGTTGCCTGCTGCCGCAAGTCTTTCAGCCTTTCACAAGTGGATTCGACGCGTTCGATGATAACTGGCCCCAAAGAAGGAAAAAGTCGATCCACCTCGCGGGGAAACTCGAACAATCGTATGTTTCGTCTTTGTAACCGCTGACAGCGCTCCGAACGGGGCAAACCATGGAGTCTTAATTTGCAGAAAAATTATCTTGAAAACATTCAAAAAAAAATTGAGTTTGGGCCTTGTAGCGGGGGGGGCGATTCAGGGGCAACTATTACTGAGCGCGGTCTACGGTAGTGTGAGCCTTATTGTTTCGGCATGATTCCTGTAGCTCGGCTTCAGAGACCATCCACCTATTTTTAACCCGAGCTTACGGTTCTTTGGTGTATTGGTACACGTGTTACGACAAAACCCTTGCAGGAAGGCCGCGGAGGCTGTCGTTGCTGCCGCCGGCGTGAACTTCTGGACGCTGGAGGAGCCGACGCTGTGGTACGCCGTCGGCCTCCTCGCCCTGCAGGTGGTGGGACGAGAGGTCTTCAAGCGCTACGGCCCGTTCAAGAGCGATGCCGCGCTATTCGCGCACCAGGTACGTATACAGACTTGATGCGACACCACACTCTGTGTCTGTTGGCTTGCAACATGATGTGATTGCGTTTGTATGGTAATGTTCGTGACACTCGCGCTGTGGGATTTTGGGGTCAATGATAGTGTTCTCGCAAGAACGATTTGGAAGGATATTCCTGTCTTCCAAAAGGTGGCGTGATGTCTATTGCTGCACTGGAGGTGAGACTTTGCAGAGAAGCAACTAAAAAATGGCGGCCTCCACCAGGCTCGTGACATATATCACGGCGTTGGCGGACGGACGGTGATATGCTGATCTGGTGTTCTTGCCGTGAATTGGCGGATGTAAGTAGGCGGTCCATGAGGCACCGCCCTAGACTGAACATGGTACATGGTATGTTGATCTTTTGTAAGTAGCTTACGTGTGCGTCTGTCTTTCGTGGGTTGAAGATCTTTCTGTCAATGTCGCGTTGCTTGGTGCGGATCGCACAGTGCCTGAAGGCTGCTCTTTCACTCGCTTGCGCAGCCGCGTAGAGCACCAACATACATGCCCTGTGCGTAGCGCCAACTCGGGCTGTGCGTTCACCCGTATTCCTAACGCCCCGACCTGTGGCACGTGGCACATGTCCTCAGACTGTACCCTGCTAACTTTAAACCTTGGCAACATCGTTGGCATCTACGCTTTCGAAAATGTACTCCGCACGGGTCCTTTAAGGTGAAATATCAGGGTATGTCGAGAAATTTGTGTTTGCGCCGCGGCATAAATGTACCCGAAAAAATAAAATTTGGCATAGTAGTTGGCCACCGGGCATCCAACGTACCCGTCTATGGAGGCCCTTGAAAACGCGACCCTCGAAATGTTTGTTTGCAATGCTTTCTCGCCTCGACCCACTGCTTTGGTTACACAGGTTTCCGTTTTTTGTGTACAACATAGGGCAGGGTAGACCAAACATCACAAGTACTCTACGCTGCCTCGCAAGTAAGACCAAGCATTTTGTGTTCTCTGCGGCACCCCTGTCGCCGTTAGTCTACAAATCCTGTGTGGCGTACCTCCCTCGGCCTCCCTTTTGTGTTCACCGATAGAAACACACATGCTCGCGTTACGACCCATCTCGATTTCGTGGTCTCTTATGATATGTATCATCCGTTGTTGTTGTTGTTGTTCCTTTCCTTATATGTGCGTATCTGGTCGCTGTTTCTAACGTCGCTGCTCCTTTTTGTTGTCATCGTTTCGTGCCGTAGCTGTGCTCGATGGTCTGCATCGCTCACTGCGCGTTCTGGGGGGTGTACTACTGGTTCGGGGAGGCTAACACCATCGAGGACCGTCTGTACGGCCCCTCTGTCGGCGCTCTGGTCATCGGAAAGGTACAGCAGTACCTGTTGTTGCCCATGGCGGTTGTTGTGGATGCTGGAGGTTGGCCTGTCGTGTCCTCGTAGATGTATTGCTGGTCCTGGTGGTTCTGTTGCCGGTGCTGTTTTCGGCCTGTTCTCGTGGAGTGTGGTGTTGCTCGCGGATGGAAGATCCTCCTTACAGAGAGCAGAGAACACTTCGGTCAGTCCAGTTGGAGGGATTATCCTGCTAACATTGGAAGTTACAGACAGATATGTAAGGAGGCATGTTGGTTCAGGAGACCCCAAGTCCCATCTAGTGCTCTTTTTATTGTTTGGCTGTGGGCTCGGTTCCTTCCTCCGTGCGGATCAGCGTCGGACACTTAGAGAATGCGATTTTTGAAGGATAAGGCGGGTGTTATCCATGCATCAGTCGGGGAACCAACTCAACATCACCGGGGATGAAGTTCCTTTGATGATCAGAGACGAGATGGTTGACTACAGGAATCTCGAAAAACACCAGTACAGTATCGTGTTGCCGATGACGGCGGCGGCGGCTCTTACAACCACAGAGCGTGAAGTTTAAGCGTTGTCTTGGAGAGCGAGCTATGCTTTGTAGGGACACGGCGGTAGTAGTGCTGTTAACCCCACCAGCAGCCAGCTCCTTTGGCACTCTCCCGTGCTCACCCTCTGACCTTTTTCGACTTCAGCGGCACGATACGGAACTAAAGGTCCGGTGGGAGAGTACACGAGCGATGCGGATAGCACCCGTCTTCGTGATGTTGGCGTTCGGGGACCGATTAGAACCGGCATGGTGCATCATCCAACACTAACCCTGCCAGGTGCTCTCGGGAAGAGAGTTTCGTTTGGAAAGTGCACAATCGTCTCCCCCTCCCGTTTAACAACGCTTTGCATGCAATGCTCTTCTTTTTTTTTGGTGTTTGCAAAGGTTAACCTGGCGTTTCAGTTTTACGACCTGGTGGCGACTGTGTTCATCGGACGACTCTGCAAGGTGGAGATGATCGTGCACCATGCCCTCGCAACCGTCATGTGCTACTTCCTCATGCGGGACTGGTGAGGAGATGCTAAGGCCTACGGTGGTTTTTGCCGAGAATGGCGGGGTGTATGCCTACACCTGACGTATCCCTTCTACATGCTTTAGCGGTCTTGCGAAGGAAATAATGAAGACGACAACAATGGCATCAACAGCATCCCTCGAGTGTAGCGCCCCGGGTGATGTCTCTCCAATGTTTCCAAACTGTTGCTTGCCACTGGAGGTGACATCGCACCCTCCGTCGAAACATCAGTTACGTGGCTACCGCACTTACGAGGAGGTAAGTGTGCAATCCACACTACCCGCAATTGTGAGTCTTCCACCAATGTACGTCGCGAGAAAACGGTCAACACAGGAAGGTGCTTCCGCCGGGAGGTCGGGTAACATCACTGGGTGGAGTGCCGGTTCGATATTCGTGTTTCGTTCCCAACGGATACTTGCCTCAACAGCGTGCCAGCGCTCCACGTCCCTGGTGCAGTTTTAAGAGCCTTCATGGCACAGCTGCTGCTATTTCAACTGGAATAGCTACCAGCACTTTGTGGACTTGTTTTGCTGGAAAAAGAGTAATTTTATTTTTGGGTTGCGTTTCCAGCGGAACCTCCTGCGTATCGAAATGCTTGTCAACCGTTCAGCGTTTTTTTTTTTTTCTTTGGCAGCTACGTCCACTACTACGCCATCTTTTTCCTGGGGATCTCGGAGGTGAGCTCGGTTCCCCTGGTCTTCGTGGACGTCTTCAAGTTCTTCCCGGACGTGGCGGCGAGGTGGGCAAGCTTTAGCAGCAGATATAACTTGATATTTGCAGTATTTGGTAATTAGCTCTTTTTTTTTCTGGTGGCACCCTGCTGTATTCTCCATTGCCTGAAGACTCATTTTGCCTGTGACTCTTACTGTCGTGTCGGATCTGCTTGCACTGGAACACCGTAATGTGGTTGGTCGCAATTATTGCGCCGTCCTACCCAGGGTTGACGTTTTTTGCATTTCTGTTGTTTCAGCCCCGCAGCAGTGTAAATTAGTGGTGTATTTCCGGTCGAAGCGGGCACCTTGTTTGGGGGCAGACCACCCTTCCATTGGTGTTGTTTTCTTATCATTTTCCACTGCAGTTGCATGTTGTGTCGTCCACTTTGTCGCCAATACGTTTTGGTCACGTTTCCGCTGTCTGCGCGTTGCTTACAAGTTGTGTGTAGTATCTATGTTTAAAGAGAGGCCCGTACGTAAGGATCTACGAAGAAGCTGTTTCCGACCCGACCAAATTTATTTTTGCCGGGCGGGGCAAAAGGTTTTCCAAAAAAAAAGTTTCCGAGGTTTTTTCAAAACCCCTTGGGGTTTTGGGGGGATTTTTTTGTTTTCCCGATTCCCCGGGTTCCCCCCCCCCCCCGGGAAAAGGGCCCCCCCCCCCCCCCCCCCCCCCCCCCGCCCAACCAACCAGCCATCCTTTTAATCTACGGTACGCGCTTCATTGGCATGTCCCCATGTCGGCTGCTATGCTACTCTCTTTGGCAGTTTCGAAGGCGTGAATAACCTGCTGCGAATCTCTTTCGCGCTCATCTTCATGGTCGTGCGCGTCTTGTACTGGCCGATCGTGGCCGCCCGGCACCTGTTCGACACCTTCGGCTCGGTGCAGGTATGATAAGTGTTCGGGAAGTGTTTAACCAACGTGCTTGGCAAATTTTTCCGTACTCCCGGACGTTTCTCTCCTCGTGTATTCTCTTGTTTTGGGTTATTTCGGCGTGCTTGGTTCTTCATCTTTCTCTCGCCCCCCCTCCCCCTCCCTCTCTCTTTCTCGGCGCCACTAGCTGAGCACAGCGACGGTTTCGACAAGCGTAACGGAACTATTGCTAAGTGGCAATGCCTCCGTGGGGTACCGCGGTCCCTCAGGTTTAGCCTCACACCCAAAAAGGTCAATCAAGAGATGGCCGGTCGCGGAACCGGGAGAGACTCAAGAGAGTTGTGAGTCGTGCACAATTCTGTCCGGGGTTTCCTTGCCGGCCATTTTTTCGATTCAAGCCCGCCGTACACTTCTTTGCCGAACGGTCTCCTCCCACATACTTTGGTCGCTTTCGCTTTGAAGGCTGTCACTGCTGTAGCCTTACGCTGCTAGAGGTGCGTAGGGCTGCCCACCACGAGCAGGGCCGACGTACGTGCTGTCCTTTTTTTTTTTTTTCCAAAGTCCTGAAGATGTCTTGTCCCTGTTGCCACCGCGGTGATCCCTCTCTTCTATCCAAGCTACTGCACTCTTCGGTTTTGGCCAGTTCCTAAAACCAAGCTGCCACCACGGCATGACATTGATGAAAAGCATACCACACCCTCTTCCGCCAGCACTTGCACGGATGAGAGTGATACACACGTCTTCGGAAAAGGAAACCGCATCGCTGTGTCTCAACTGGGACCATGCATGGTTGTATGTTCTAGCCGGCGAGCACAGGGAAGCCCTGACCACACCCACACGGATGGAAACCCTTTGCCTTGTTCTCGCAGGCAGGCACCGTGCACGACGTCGGGGTCGTCGGCTTCTTCACGGCTTGCAACCTCGCGCTCACGTTCATGCAGTGGTATTGGGGGTACCTCATCGTGCGGGCGGCGACCAAGATGCTCTCGGGCGGGAAGAAGGATTCCAAGATCAAGAAGCAGTAGTAGCGTACGGGGGTGAACAGGCCCTTTCGAAACTTACACGACCTTGGAGTTTGAGTTGTGTGCACGGCGTACGTTGTTGGGCTGGGTGGAGCGACGCATCAGTGCGATCTTTGGTGTCTTGCATGACTGTTCTTGGTCGAAGCGTATGTGCCCGGAATACGTCGCATCGAGGCTTCGTGTTAAAAGTAGAATGTTTTTCTACGCAAGAGGCCCTTCCGGGCGGGGAGGCTGGCGACGAAAAGGTTCAGCACGCGTCAGTCCAATCAACGAGGTTGACCGCCAGAGGCAAAGCAAGGCGCAAGGGGTGGACGGGTGGGGGGGGCGGTTAGGCCCGAGCAGGCGGTTGGTGATCTTGACTGAACCAACCCGAAGTATGTGATACTCTTGAGGCTGTAAAAGCTTGGTATTTCGAGTTCTCGTTGGATTCCACTTGCTGGTTAGGTTTCTTCCGGCGCTGGGCCGCGCTTTTTCGTCTTTCTGGACTTGATGCGTTGTTACGGTTGCCGTGTCGGTGTTGGCTTGCAGGCTTGCTCACCTACCCAGGAGATACGAAGGGTTGAATCGGCGTGGAGAGAAGCATTTGCCGGAGTTCACGTCTACAGCAGTGATTTTCCTGCCCGGCCGTCGTCTCGATTTCATGGGATCAATGTGGTGCTCGATTTCGTGTGTTCAGGTAGCGGGGGTGGGTTGGTGAACGCCAACGTGGTTCTTGGAGCTACATAGACCCAACAATATTCCCGGCAGATCGACATCATTCCCTCACTTATCAAGGTATAATAGATGGTAGCACAAGGGCACACCACGATGCATCAGCTTGTTTAGAGCCCGTCGCCAATGAATACACCGCAGCTGTGACGTCGCAGTAGAACCTGAAATCGACTCTTTTTTTTTTGCGGGCGCATAAGTGATACGCATATGTATCGTCCTTTATGCGCAGCCTGCGCTGTAGGCAACATGTAGCATGGTGCTGGTGTCGTGAAAAGCCAACGGATACAAAGGGGGTGGCTGATAGAGTAAATAAGCCGCTTTGTGGTATGTATTCGAGGGGAGTACATAGCAGTAGCGCGTGGGTCGTGGAGGGGGGGGGGGGGGGGGGCAGGGGCCCCTGTTTTTCGGCCCAACACCTTTATGTTCAAAACTTTAAGGATTTTTTTTTTCCTTCTGGGGCCAAAAAAAAAAAAATCCCCCCGGGCTCCTTGTTGGGGGGATCCCCCCCCCAAAACCCTTCCTTTAAAAAAAACGAAACAAACCCCCCGGCCCCTAAAAACCCAAAGGCCCCATTGCAAAAAAAACCCGAAAAAAATTCGGGGGGGAAACCCGGGTTTTTTTTCAACCCCAAAAATTTCCCCCCTGGTGCCT